ATACCCCAACCAAGTGGGATTTATTCGAGGTATGCAAGACCAGTTCAATATTTGAAAATCAATTAACGTAATCCATCAGACCAATAAGCAAAAAAAGAAAAATTACATGATCATATAAATAGATGCAGAAAAAGCATTTGATAAATCCAACATCCATTAATGATAAAAACTCTCAGTACACTAGGAATAGAGAGGAACTTGGCAAATTGAGTATCTACAAAAAAATCTACAACTCATTTTTAATGATGAGAAACTAGAAGCTTTCCTACCAAGATGAGGAACAAAGCAAGGACATGCCCTCTCACCACTCTTTTTCAACATCTTACTAGGTAGTGGAATAAGACAGGAAAACAAAGTAAAAGGTATACAGATTGGGAAGGAAGAAATAAAACTGTTGTTAGCAAATGACATGATGGTCTATGTTGAAAATCTAAAAGAAATGACAAAAATTTCCTGGAACTAATAAGTGATCATAGCAAACTGTAGGAGACAAGGTTAATATACAAAAGCTAATTGCTTTCCTGTGTATGTGCAATGAAAAAGTGGAATCTAAAATTAAAAACACAATACCGTTCACATTAGTGCCAAAAAAAAATGAAACGTGTAGGTATGAATTTAACAAAATATGCACAAGATCTATACGAGGAAAACTACAAAACTCTGATGAAAGAAATCAAAGAAAAACTAATAAATGGAAAAACAGTCCATGTAATTGGATGGACAATATTCTCAATATTGTCAAGACATCAGTCTCTTCCCAACTTGATGTGTATTTTCAATGAAATCACAAAAAATATCCCAGTAAGTTATTTTGTGGATATCGACACACTCATTCTAAAGTTTATATGGAGAGGCTATAGTCCCAGAATAGCCAACACAATACTGAAGAACAAAGAGGAAGGACTATCTGACTTCAAGACTTATTAAATTCCAGTAGTCAAGACACAGTGTGATATTGGAGAAAGAAAAGACAAATAGACCAATAAAATGGAATAGAGAGCCCAGAAATAGACGCACATAAATATAGTCAACTGATCTTCTCCAAAGGAGCAGAGGCAATGCAATGAAGCAAACAAATGATGCCGAACTGGACATCCACATGCAAAAAAATGAATCTAGGACCCAGGCCTTATACCCTTAGAGGTTAACATAAGAGAAAATCTACATGACTTTGAGTATAGCAATGGCAAGTAAGCATATGAAAAGATGTTCCACATCATATGGCATCAGGGAAATACCAACTGAAATAACAAGGAGATGAACAACCAAACTCCAGAACACGGACAACACCAAATGCTGGCAAAGATGTGGAGCAAGAGGAACTCTCAGTCATTGCTCGTGGGAATACAAAATGGTATAGCCACTTTAGAAGATAGTTTGACAGTTTCTTACAAAACTAAACACATTATTACCCTATGATCCAGCAATCATGCTCCTTGGTATGTAACTAAAAGAACTGAAAACTTATGGCCACATAAAAACCTGCACATAGATGTTTACAGCAGCTTTACTCATAATTGCCAAAACTTCGAAGCAATCAAGATGTCCTTTGGTAAGTGAATGAATAAACTGTGGTACATCCAGACAAAGGAATATTGTTCAGTGTTTAAAAGAAATGAGCTATGGAGTCATGAAAAGACAGAGAGACACCTTAAATCATATTACTAAGTTTAAAAAGCTAATCTGCATGGCCGGGCACGGTGGCTCACGCCTGTAATCCTAGCTGTCTGGGAGGCCGAGGCGGGTGGATTGTTTGAGCTCAGGAGTTCGAAATCAGCCTGAGC